ATGGGGCACGCTGGCAGGGTGATGGACATGGGTATGGGGCACGCTGGCAGGGTGATGGTCATGGGTATGGGGCACACTGGCAGGGTGATGGTCATGGGTATGGGGCACACTGGCATGAGGACTGAGGAGCTTTTCCTTGCAGCCACTCAGGGTGAGGGCAGAGAGGTTCAGGGTGGCTACACATGCACGGTTCGACAGGTCTCCGCATTGGAAAGAAGAACAAGGGCAGCCCCCAGACCCTCTCCCACCCATCTCCAGACCTGTCATCAACTGCTCACCTCCTGATCATGAATTCCAATTCATTGCTCGAGACTGATTTCTGACTATTCCATCAACTGCTCGAGACTGATTTGTGATTATTCTCTCTCTGAAGGATTGCCCGAGTCTGATTTCCACCATTCTATTGCTAATCCATTGCTTGAGCCTGAATTGTGAATATTCTATCTTTGAATGATTGATTTGATTGGATTTATTACGGTCACATGTACCAAGGTACAGTGTAAAGTGTTGTCTGATGTGCTTTACAGGCAGATTGTTCTGTATAAGTGAATCAAGTGACAGAACAGAGCTTGGGATGCAATGTTTGCTAAATATTTGCTAAACAGTGATTGGTAAAGCTTGATTTGTGATCATTGAGGGGCTGATTTCTGATTATTCCTTTGTTCCTCTGATTTGTGATTATTCCACCTCTGACGGATTGCCTGAGTCTGATTTTAATTGTACCATTGCTAATCGATTGCTCGAGTCTGATTTGTGATTATTCTATCTCTGAATGATTACTCAAGTCTGATTTGTGGTTATCCTACCTCTGACGGATTTCGATTGTACCATTTCTAATTGATTGCTTGAGCCTGATTGTGATGATTCTATCCCTGATTTCTTGGGGCTGATTGCGATCATTCAATCAGTGTCTGGACCCCCCCCCCCACCTTGGCGTGGTCTGATTTGTATTGCTGGGATAGTTTGCACGATCAATCGCTCAGCATTCGGTTGGTCGGAGCTGATTTCACTGCTGTGTAAATTTCCTGCTGCGATCATTAAACCAGAGATTGACTCCCTGGGTCTGGTTGAGGTGAGATGTTAGCGAGATTTCTCAAATTCCCAGTGGCCAAGGACTCCCTTCGTATTGATGACTACTAATTACGCAATGAAATGCTATCGAATATCTTCACACCTACAAATAATTCTAAGGCCATTCAGTCCATCAGACCTGGCCTGTGTGACACATGGTGACTGAAGTGAACATAAAATACGCTTTTCTTTTTCCTTTACTTGAGCCTTCCTGGATTGGAAGGATTACAGTAAGCCTTCACAAGGTTGGAGTTGAGAAGAATGAGAGGTGATCTCATTGAGTCATATCTGGGTCAGACAGGGTCAATGCTGCGAGGGTGTTCCCCCTCACAGGAGGGTCTGGGACCAGGGGGGACAGTCTCAGAATAAAGGGGGTGCTGATTTAAGACCGAGATGAGGAGGAATTCCTTCTCTCAGAGGGCTGTGGGTCTTTGGAACACCTTGTCACAGGGAGTCTTTGTGTATATTGAAGGCCGAGATAGAGAGATTCCCGATCAGTCGGGGAAGAGGGCAGGAAAGCGGATGTGAGGAATGTCAGATCGGCCATGATCTTATTGAATAGGGAGGCAAGCTTGAGGGGCCAAATGGCCTGCTCCTGTTTCTGATGAGGGGTTTGCCTGGTGGCGAGCATTTATTCCCCTCCCCTGGGGAAGGTGGGTTTGGGTGTTGGTGGGGGGGGGGGGGGGGTGAGCTGCCTGCTTGAACTGCTGCGATCCCCCACCCCCTGGTGTGTGTGTGGTGTAGGGACATGGTGCCATCAGGGAGGGAGTTCCAGGATTTCCACCCAGAGACAGTGAGGGA